TTGTTTTTTTTTGCTTTACTTTGTTTTTTCTTTGCTTTGCTCTGCTTTGCTTTTTTTGCTTTGCTCTGTTTTGTTTTTGCTCTGGTTTGCTTTGCTTTTTCTTTGCTTTGCTCTGCTTTGTTTTTGCTCTGCTTTGCTCTGCTCTGCTTTGTTTTTTCTTCGCTTTGCTCTGTTTTGTTTTTGCTTTGCTTTGCTTTGCTTTGCTCTGCTCTGTTTTGTTTTGCTTTGCTTTGCTTTGCTTTGTTTTGTTTTGTTTTGCTTTGTTTTGTTTTGTTTTGTTTTGTTTTGTTCTGTTCTGTTCTGTTCTGTTCTGCTTTGCATTGCATTGCATTGCATTGCTTTGCTTTGCTTTGCTTTGCATTGCATTGCATTGCATTGCATTGCATTGCTTTGCTTTGCTTTGCTTTGCTTTGTTTTGCATTGCTTTGCTTTGCTTTGTTTTGCATTGCTTTGCTTTGCTCTGTTTTGCTTTGCTTTGCTTTGCTTTGTTTGTTTTTTCCCTGTGGCAGAAACAGGCTTCCATAAAAGAAAAAAAAATTTCTGCCAGTGGGGTAAGACAAATAAAATTATTCAAAGAGCAAACAAGCAAGATTATTATTCTTTAAGAGTTTTTTCCCCTCTTGTTTATGCAAAAAAATTAAAAAAATTGTAATTGATATTTTTTCAGAAACACATGAAAAATACACTAATGACACTAAAGTAATGTAATAAACATCAATTTGACAACATACAATTTAACAAAATTGTGTGATTATGAAATATTTTACAATGGCTTCAAACACGGCTCAGCCAATCATAATCAAAGACCAAAACTCTCAGTTTTTATAATATTTTTCTTTAAGGCCTATTTAAGGCCTTAAGGTTATCTTTAAAAGCAATCTGAAAATTAAAATTCTGTCATGCCAAACCTGTATGGAGTGCAAAAGAATATAATTTGAAGAATGTTGGGGTCTGTGCAACAATCTGTTTGTGTTCCGCACAGCATGACGGCGGGTAAATGATCACAGAACCATCCCTTTAATGGCTGTTAGCAGACGAATGGTGAAAGCGTGACCAGGTGTGTGTTTTGTGTGTTTCAGAGGGTTTAGCTGTTGGCGTGGGCTTTGGAGCGGTCGGTAAAACTCCCTCGGCTACGTTTGAAAGCGCCAGGTAAGACATGAACAGGATAGTTCGTCCAAAACTTTTTCAAACATTTAATCACCCCATATGATTCCAGCACGTTTATTTTCTTCCGCTAAGCACAAAAGCAGAACTTCTGAGCTTCTGTTGTCTACAAGCGAATGGAAAGGCATAATAAATGTTGAGCATACAAAGATTTTCAGCCTGAATTAATTTTTTTCTTGTTTAATATGCAAAAAATTGATAAATTTCTCAGAAAGCAAGACTTAATATCTGATATCATTTTGCTTCTGAAGTAAATATATCTCAATCTAAGAATGTGTAGATATTTGTATTGGAAAACAAGGCAAAAACACTGAGGAAGAAGCTGATTTTCAATGACTAAGATTTAATGAGTGAAAATGAAATGCTGAGATGCTTCTTCTGTTAAGAGTCGAGAGCTCGGTCAGGCGTATTGCAGAACAGAACCGTTTCCGCCTAATTGTTCTCTGTCAAATTAATATTGGGCCAGAAGGATGTGAGGATGAGGAAACATTGACAGAAGTTTCATTTGGGGGTGAATTATTTCTTTAAAGGGCACATGCAGTGTTTTCTGACAGTATTGTGTGCTGCTGTCACCAAGTGGACAAAGCTGGTATTGTGAGATCTCTGCGCACACACACACACACACACACACACACACACACACACACACACACACACACATCTCACACACACACACACACACTCACACACACACACACACACACGTGCTGTTGTGATCATGTTAGTGATCGAGAAGGAGCGAGAAGGAAGTGTTCACATCACACCAGATGGAATCTATTAGCCGTCGCTGAGAATCAGAGCCGCATTGTAAGCGCTGAAGCACCTGGACTCCACTATGGGTCTCAATGAGGTCCTGTGTGTGTGAGAGAGACCGCCATCCAGATGTGAGCTGAAGCTTGCAGATGTTGCGATAGAATACGTGTCTTTATTTAGTATTTGTGTCGTACCATGTGTGTGTTTCTCCATAGGGAAAGCTGTTCTGCATTAGTCTTATGCTCATGTAATCTCTTTACTTCCGCACTGACAGCTGAGGGCTTGTGCTTTCTGTTTGCTCGTGATTAAAAGACGAATAGATACATGGTTTGTTCAAGAAGTAAACACAGGCAGCAGCTTTCTGCGGTGTGCTGAACTTATGATACGGCATAAGAAAGAGGCCTTTGTCAGCCTGAAAACAGAGATAGAGTCCGTTTCATTTCTGTAGCGCTTTTCACAATCGTTTCAGCTTGACAAGAAACCATGATGTTGATGTTTGTAATATCTTAATGTCGCATTTAACAGATTAAAGCTGGTCGACAGTGTAGTTACATTTTGCTTAATAAAAGCAATATGTAAAAAAGGATAAAGCTACTTATATATCTAACTTTATGATAATATGGTGGGAGATTTTCATTAAAAAATACCTTATACATGTTTGAAAAACTTTAACTTTAAAAGGAATTTAATAAAAAATAATTTTAAATAATAATAATTTAGCTTTGTTTATGAGGCAAATATGTAAGGCTGTGGCAAATGAATAAAAGTACTTGCAACATTTTCTTGGAGAAAAAGTGTCAGAATTGTGAGAAATAAATTCAGAATTGCAAGATACTGTATAAACACAGAATTCAGATTTTTTCTCATAATTCCTAGTTTATACCTCTTAATTCTATTTTTTTCTGAACTTTCTCCCCACCACAGAATACAAAAAAAAAAAAAACTTTATATCGCTCAATTATGACTTTTTTTCTCTGAATTTTGAGATTATATCTTGTAATTCTGTCACCTTTTCCTCAGAGAAACCAAATGCAAATTGTGAGATATAAAGTTGTAGTTACCTTTTTAATTTTTTTTATTCTGTGGCAGATTAGTTTTTTTGTTTTTTGGGGAGAATGATAAAATCTCATCATAAAATATAGCATTCATTACACACAATGTTAAGTCTATATTGTGTTGCATCAGTGCTAAAGAACACCAAGGGAAAGAAAGAAAGAAAGAAAGAAAGAAAGAAAGAAAGAAAAAGAAAAAAGAAAGTAAGAAAAACGTTTTCTCGTAATTGCAAGGTATAAACACAGAATTCTGAGCAAAAACTCTGCTTTAGTTCTATTATACTGCACTGTATTCTATTCTCCTTTATCCTTCTTTCTGTTCTTTCTGGTTAAAGCAATAATGGACTTGATACTTGCATGACCGTAAAGTCCTTCAGTTTGTTGTTTCGGGAACCAGGAGAATCCCAGCGCCCTCTTTTAAGGGATTTCTGGGAAGAGACAGCGTTTACATTAGCGTGATTAGTTTGTGGTAATTAAGGTGAGCTGGCTGAGCATCACAGGGAAGCCACGTCAGATCGTGTTTTCCATTCATTAAAGAACTAAAACATTCCAAATGCTTTCCAAACATCAAAAACCCTCAACAAATGATAATAATGGACATTATAGACTGTTCAGTCAGCGGTGACTCTTGAAAAGCCATGTTTGCGAAGCATTGCATCCTCTTTTTGGATGCTACTGAAACCATAAACTCTCTGAACTTTATGCTCAATCCCGTGTCGTGTACTTTTGTGATTTTCCAGATTGGACAGGTATACACAAGCTTAACATTATTTGACCTTGTCTCTGGTTGTTTATTCAGAGAGGCGTCTGGACGTCTTGACCTGACCTCCTCACGGACTCAGAGCTCTATAGAAGGTTTTTGGATGTGTTTGTGCAGTTTCTGAAACTGTCTGGTTCTCCATCGTGAGCCGCAGAAGGCAGACAGTCTTCTCTCTCTCTCTCTCTCTCTCTCTGCGCTCTGAAACAAAAGTCTGTTTGTTTTCCAGGGAAAGCCACTCTTCTGTTTCTTCCCTCTTTCCCAGCGCTCTTCTCCCAGTCAAAGCAGTCCTTGCATTCCCCAGTACCCACATACTCAAGTGGACTGTTAAAACCAGATGCTCAGAGACTCTTCAAAGAAGCGGGGACGGGTTTGTGTAGCTCCAGTGTAGGCAGCGTTTGAAGGTACAGATCCATTGAAGCCCACCGGCCCAGACATGCAGAATAAAGTTTGGGGAATGTTGGGATCAGAGTTATTTTAGTAGCATTGCTTTTGCTAATATTTTGAATTAGATTTTATTTTTCTATTGTCTATTTTACATTTTACTATTTTACTTAGTTTTAGTAATTTTGTTGCAAATTCATTCATTCATGATATTTATTACTTTTTATTTAGTCTGTTTGATTACGTCTTTAATTGATTTTTCCGTACATTTCTGCCATATGTACATTAACTGACAGTCACCACTGATAAGCTACCACTAAATATTGTAGAAACTTAATTTGCTGTAAAGTTGCTTTGCAACGATTTGTATCGTGAAAAGCGCTGTACAAATAAACTTGAATTGAACTGAATTGAATAGAAGTTTTAGTTTGTTTAGTTTCAGTTATTTGTATATTTTCTCTTTAGTTACTTTTAGTCAATTTGTTGTGCTTTTGTCATTTTGTTATTTATTTATTTCTGTATACTATTTATTATTATTATTATTATTATTTTGTCAGTTATTTTTATATTTTATTTATAACTCTTTAACTAGTTAATTTTAGTAATTTGTTGTGTTTTATTCATTTTTTTATTTATTGGCTATATAGTATTTATGGTTTTTATTTATTAGTTTTAGTTTATTTAGTTTCAGTTATTTTATGTTTTATATTTTGTCTTTAATTTGAATTAGTTTTAGTAATTTTTGTGCATTTGTGTCTGTCTGTCTGTCTGTCTATCTATCTCTCTTCTATCTAGATCTTTATTATTTTTTATTTATTTAGTTTAGTCTTTATTATTTTTAGTTTATTTAGTTTTAGTACTTAAACTTAAAATGGAAAGTATTGCCTTGGCAACTATAGCTAAAATAAAATGTTTAAAATATTATTCATTCATTCATTCATTAATTTTAGTGAACATTTATTGTATGTAAAATATTTATTTTTAGTTAACAAACTAATCCTGGCTGGATAAGTGTGACATGAGTGCAGTCACTCCTCATCACGTTCATCAGCGAAGGTGACGTGATCTTAGAGCCGTCAAAACATTTTACAACAAGTTTATATTATTTCTAGCTAAATGTGACGAACTCAGCTGGAATAACAGTCTCCCGCCTGCTTCTCTGCTGGAGGTGTTTCTCTCAAACCCTGAATCATACGAACATCAGTCCACACACAAATTATAATAAAGTGCCACAAACTCATTTTAATAGACAGAGATCTTATGCGCGCTTTTTCTTCAAAGAAAGCAAGCCAGTTTTCTTCAGCAATTTCCTCAGATGTGCTCATGAAATAATTAAAATGATGAAGGTTAGAGAGGAAAATATGCAAATGGGCTTGTGAATAAATAATTTAACCGAATTAACGTGTTTGCAAGATATTAACACAAAGTGGGTCAGTGAATTGATTAAGAATGTCAAAATGGATAATAATAATTGTATTATCATATATTTAAAATTGTGTCCAAACGGTAAGACATCTGCCATTTAATATCAAGCCATTATTGAATAATTTGTCTGGGAATCTCATATGATTTATAGTTATTACATTACTGATGTCAGTTATTTTTAGAGATGTTTTAATACATTGACTAAATTTACGGTAAAAAACGGCAGCTGTGGTTGCCAGAATTTTACCGTAAATAAATACAGTGGATAAACACCATGGTAACACACGTGAAACTGAAATAATGCAATAAACATTCATTTACTAACATTAGATGTAACATACAACCCTAATGTACAAAACTGATAAGAAAAACTAAGAAACATAGTTATTTCAACAAAAAAACATCAAATTTGAAATGTAACGCAGGGAATCCTGGGAATGTCCATTTACGGTTATTCACTGTAAATTATACATTCTTTATCCACTTCCAAAAACAGTATACTACTGTAAAATTACATGTAATGTCCAATACAGTTTTTCACCGTGTATAGTAGGGGAACTTACCGTTAACCTTTTAACAGGTTTTTACTGTAGCATTTTTACAGTCTTTTACCA